GGCGTGGCGGGGCGTGGCGGGGCGGGGCGTGGCGGGGCGGCCAGTCGGTACGCGTGCCGCGGGCCCCGGTATGCACGGCGCGGCGCGGGAGGTGAGTGCAAGCGCCGCGGCGGTTCGTCCGCGACTGAGCGCCGCACCGCGCAAGGCGTGCCGCGTTGGGGCGGGGCGGGGCGGCGCGTGGTGGCGCGTGGCGGCGCGTGGCGGCACCCGCGGCGTGGCGGGGGACGGGCCGGCGGGCTGGCACGGGCCCCTGGAGTGCGGACTGACCTACCCGACCACAGCCGCCGAGGCGAGGTGCACGTTGGGTTGCCTGCCTTCACGGCGCCGGCAGCGCCCTCTCCTGGGCGACCAGTAGGGTGTGCCGAAAGCCGAAATTAAACTTACAGCACGACTCGGGTACGGTTCTCGATCTCGAATTTGAACCACGTGGCTTTGTTTGCGAGATGATTTGCCCTTTCTTGGAAATAAGCCATCGTTTCGTCCCATGCAACATGCAATATGCAACATGTCGTGTTTAAAGTTTCATTTCTCACACCCCACTTTGTCGGTTATACCACGGTCCTTATGAAGTGAAATTCACTTTAAACTCACCAGGATTTTCGTGTGAAAACTTTCTTTTCTTTTGGATCCCTCTCCTTTGATGATTGTCAGTTTTGTTTCCGAATAAAGGGTGCACCAAAAATATACACATGTTTACGACAAGTAGAATACTTGTTGTTTATTTATAAATTACACTTTAGTTGATTGCATTATGTATCTAGTCTTGAGCATTTTTACAATGTAGAAGATGGCTAAATGACCCTGCGTCAATTCCAGGCTTTGTGCACCTGCACCAGACTTAAACCTTGAGGATGATGAAAGCACTTTCAAAGTGCAGTACAGTGAAAACACATGTGACGCTCGCTGCTTGCACTGACTGTGAACGAGTGCTTTGCCTAGCGAGAATAGGAAGAAAATGAAAAAGTTTACAAAAATGAACGTCAAAACACGAAATGATAATAGTAAAAACGAGTTAAACCGTGACACATGTTCTCCCACTTCTCTTTCGCGTGAGGCAAGGTTTTCATGCATCTACATCTTAATCACAGATGGTATCACAAACTTAAACTATACTTACATCGATCTAATTATGATTTATCAGTAAGTGCACCACAGAGGGGTGTGACTGACACATTCGTAAGATTTACGAAAGGCGATCGCATACAGAAACGCTCTACCAGATCATGAAAAAGGATTAATAAATACTTATGTCACAAAGTTAAAAATATCACAAGTAGTTGATTGGCCGATTAGGAGACGGGTGGTTCACTTTAGGAGAAATAGAAAAGGAGAGGGAATTGAAAGGTTGACAACTAAATCTATTGAGCATTTTCCCTCCGCTCAGTGCACGCTGAGAATACTCCAGAACACGATGTATTGGCGCCCCCAAGGGGTCTGCGGAGCACTACATCGGTGGTTCAGTGGCATGTCAGGTACTTCTCGTTATGTACAACACGATAACTTCGACCAGTAGAGAGCGACAAGTCGGCACGACAAGTCTCAAAATATACTCAAACACAACTGGACTCACCCAATAATTTCTCTTTCACGCACGCGCACATACAAACACACACTCACACACATACACGAAAATGCAGGCACACTCTCACACACACACTCACACACACAATTTTTTTTTGCGTTATTTATGGGGTATAATCTTCCGCAGGTAGTTAAGGATCCTGCTGGAGAACTCAACGGTGAGCCGATATCGCAGGGCGAGGAAGGCGGCAAGGCGGAACACGACCATGTACACGAGGAGGTTGAGCATCTGCATGTAGCTGCTCAGCCCTTCCATTCCCAGATCCCTGAGGAGCAGGTTGGGGTTGGCGTAGTGGCAATAGACGACCTTGTCCTCGTCGCAGTGCATCAGGTCGCGGTCGCCGGAGTACAGCGACAGAGCGAAGCCCACCAGCCCGAAGCGCAGGTAGCTCAGGGACATGAGCCACTCGTAGATCAGTTCAGCGTTCTTGCCGTAGCCCATGCCGTACACGGACAGCACCAGCATGGGTGCCAGAGAGAAGGTGCCTAAAGTCGAGCCGTTCTGTTGAAAGAAAAATCATTTTAGTCGACAATAATAAACGGGGAGGAGTTTGTGAACGGCGTGCGCAGTCCTTAAGCTTACCGTGACACTGAAAAGGGAGCCCAGAACCAGCCCATAGCCCTCGGACACCATGCCGGTGGTAACTCCGGTGACGAGGAACCAGAGATATCGGCTCCAGACCATTGGCTGGCCGGAGATGACGTAGCACATGGTGGAGAACACGAAGCCGCATACGCACTGCAAAAGAGGGAAAATTGAAATGGACGAATTGTCTAAAGAATTCTTTGCCGAGCAAAAGTAAAGGCCACCACCACACTTGTTCGTTCGTTTGTTTGTTTGGTTGGTGTTTGGTTGTTTTTTTACCACATGGTGACTCGAAAATGCACCAAAAAAAAAAACATTCAGTTGATAAAACTAAAAACAATGAGGGGCAATTAACTACGATTTAGTTCTATCATTTTAAACTAAACATATGTGCACCAATGAACATTTAGTAAACACAACTTAATTTTTATTGGCTCCGAATTTGGTCCCCTGGATGAAACGTTTTTTAGTGTGCGAGCTAACTTAAAGCGATCTTAAAATTTCAGGGTCATTTTGTACTCTCTGTGGGGATTTAGAGCTCCCAAAATTCGCGTGCGCCAGGCGTGATTTTCACGTTATGTTACGTTGCACGCATTTCAACCCTTGCTCCCCACATCCCCCGTCCGCCCCCGGTCCCTGCCCCTTGGCCCCGCCCCCACTCACCTGCCATGGCAGTGTGGAGAATGTCAGCGCGATATAGTACGATTTGAGACCGTACCACCGGTTGAAGAACTCTCGCTTCATGATGACCAGCTCGGAGGGAACTGCGCCATAAATTAGATGATTACTGACAATTGTTCAATATTTGCATAGGTTTACTCCAATTTGGTTAACTGTGCTAAACACTCACAAAGCAGGATCGGCACCATGAACGGGCAGTACATGTAGTAGACGAGCACACCGATGCAAAACTTGAAGTTGTCGAAGGGTCGCGTCACGTCGTCGCCCTTGCCGTAGAAGACGGCGCCCAGCGAGGCGCCCACGAGCACGGCGCCGAACATCTGGACGAATAGGCCGACCATGTTGCGCCGCGTCTGCAGGAAGTAGCGTCGCGTCAGGACCGAGAGCTGCGTCCAGAACGACGTTGCGAACTCGGTCTCGCTCAGCGCCGAGGTCTGCGCGTGCGCCGCGGCCAGCAGGCTCGCCGCCGAATCGCCCGTGCCTGCAAATAAACGACAGAGTACAATTTTCTCCACGCACTCTCCAGAGAGGCTTTTTTGACAAATTGTCGATTTTTGAGTTGATAACGTAATCATGTCAGCAGGACTCACGATAGCTGGAGACGTGTTTGGCTGGCTCGCTGGAGGTCTTGCAGAGCTTGCCGTTGGACGTGTTCGCCGCCATGGTCTTGGCGTTGTTGGGGCTGAGGCACTCGAGCACTGCATGGGGTGAGCGGACAGTGAATAAAAAACACATAAAAAACAAACAAGAAGAACCCCTGCAGCCATTGGGTGTCGGTGTGGTCCGTACCGAAGTCTGCGGGGTTGTAGTGCTTCGGGCAGCTGAGCTGGCAGGCGTCCAGGAAGGGCACGAGCTGGTGGGCCGCCCCTTGGTACACGCAGTTGCCGCCGTTCAGGATGTACACGTGGTCGAACTGCTGGAAGAGCGAGGCCGACGGCTGGTGGATGGTGCAGACCACGGTGCGGCCGCCGCGGGCCAGCAGCTGCAGCACGTCCACCAGCGCCTTCATGGCCACCACGTCCAGGCCCCTGCGAGACAAGGAGACGGTGAGGCGGGTCCGACTCCATCAGGAAAGGGTCTCAGAAAGTAGTTTGGCGCACGGCACACTCACGTTGTTGGCTCGTCGAGGAAGATGACTGGGGGATTGTTGACGAGCTCCAGCGCCACGGCGAGCCTCTTTCGCTGGCCGCCAGACAGCTTCTCCGTGCGGGTGTTCCTGCACGGCGTCAGCCCCAGCGTCTCGAGGACCTCGTCCACGGCGAGCGCCTTCTGCCGGGCGGACATCTCGGAGCCCAGCTTGAGCTCGGCGGCCACCATCATGGCCTCGTGCACCGTGATCCTGGGCTGCAGCAGGTCGTCCTGCATGATGTAGCAGCTCAGCTTGTGGAAGAGGCGCAGGTTGCGGGGCTGCCCGTTGGTCTGGATGGTTCCGGACACGTTCGAGTTTCTGCGGGGCAGCGCGAGAACAGTGGAGGTCAGCTTATCCGCCGACTTTGTCATTCCGACGCAAACAATTGGGAGGAATACACGGCGATCGACCGCCGCTGACGCCCGTGCCGATACCTGTTTTCTAGAAGCGACACTTTTGGGCGACGCGATCATATATCACGCCCAGGTCGTTTCTGATTGCGCGGCTAGCAATAACAAGAAGTGTGCGCTCGACCACCGTGACCCGCGGGGTCGCGATCAGCCCGCCGATAAATGATCGTCGGCTTAGGCCTATGGCTAACCCACCATTCATCAAGAGCGAACGGGCGAATATTAAACAACTCCTCATGGAGGAATCGATAATCGATCATTAAGCACACTGTATGGAATGCAACCGATCTCTGTAATTTGCCGTTGGTGGGTAGCCACGCGCCAGAGAGGCTTATCTCCTCAGAAGGCTAAAGTGCGCCGATCTTCGCCGCCGCCGCCTCCTTCACTCCCCCTCCCGCCTTCCGCCCCCCC